ATTAATAAATAATTATAATTAAATATTATTTTATGATTGCGATAAATTTTTTGAAATATTTAATTGCAGGAGGACGAGCAGCGAGTCCTTCGTCTTCGGCTACATAAAGTGGCCAAGTCACACCGATTGATAGAAGAAAACTTGCAAGATGTTGGATTTTGGTATGTAACATTTGTACGATATTACAAGTTGGTTTCAGGTTTGATCATTGCGTTGATTGAACGTTGGAGACCAGAAACGCACACGTTTCATTTGCCGTGTGGCGAATGTACGATAACTCTGGAGGATGTGACAATGCAACTCGGGGTCCAAACAAATGGGATGTCGGTGATAATGTCACATGATTTTAATAATGTGGCACAATTTTACAGCTTGTTTCTTGGAAAAATGTCGTACCACCAGAGTGTAAAGGGTGGCGTGTAAGGTTGTCATGGTTGAAGAATGAATTTCAACTTCAACCAAATAGTACGGAACACGAAATTATATATGCAACACAAGCATATATATTACAGTTGATTGGGGGTATTTTGATGCCAGATAACTCTGGTAGTTATGTTCACACTCAGTATCTTCTTTTTTTAAGAAATTTTGAGAATAGTAGACAATATAGCTGGGGATCGGCGATATTGGCGTTCTTGTATCGTGAGATATGCAAGGCGTCATTAGTCGTGAATGATAATAATACAGTAGAAATCGGTGGATGTTTGTTGCTGCTACAATTATGGGCTTGGCATAGACTTCCGTTTTTGACACCGATTAGTCGGACTGCGGTTGACTTTTCACTTGCCGGAAGGTAATATGAATTCTCTATTTTAATCAAAATATTTATTTTAATATAAAATATTTATTATAAATATTTATTTTGATTAAAATTATTGAACAAAATGACTATATTTTTGTTTTGATTGATATACAAATGGAGGCATAAAATTGAAGGCACGTGTTTAGTGCACAACAACATTAAAGAGTTCAGGCTGAAGATCAACATTAAGACCAAAAAGGAGGTATGTATAATCTGTTATTTTTAATTATTATTTAAATTAACTATATTATTTGATTTAAATCAATTTTATTATTATTTTAATTTTACAGTTTCATTAGAGATCATACAGGCCTATATTGACCATACAACCACGTACCATCTACTTGGATCATACGTTTGCAAAATGGAAATCCTTCAATACATGCCTTGAATGCCCAAAATAGTCTATGAAATATTTTCTTCCCCTGCAGAAATTGACCTTCTTCGTCATACGTGGACATAGTTTGAGACTTTAGTATGGTTCATGGGATAAATCGCTTCATTGCTTGTAGCAAATGTGGTTGCTCATTGTACGATGTATCCCAATCTCCATATGTCAGCTTCATTGCCTTCATCTTTGCATTCCACACCTTGTCATATTTTACTTAATATCCAAATTGACTTCGAATAGATACAACTAACACTGAACAAGATATCCTTGGATCCTTTTCAACCATCGCCTTCACGTATTCGCATATTACATCGGAATCCAATAGTCGGTGATCTTGTTCGATGGAGTTTCACAAACATGTGTGTGGATTATTGTACCTCGTGATGACCCAAACATCGTGCCTTTGATTTTTCGACACTCTGATCTTCTACTTGCACTATGGGCCATATTTTACACACTTCGCGTATAGGGTTTTCTGGTTTGACTCTGCAACATGGATATCAACATGGCATTTGATGCAGTACTCTTTAATCGCCAGCGTAGCTTCATTTTTTCCTCTGAATTGCACCTCAACTGAAAATTCACCAGAATTATCGAATGATTCAAACATTTGGTACGTAAGTAAATGTGGCATGTCTGGGAATTCAGGTGCCCTCATCGCATCATAGTCTATCTCATACATGTGAGGAGTAGCTTCATACGGTGTCGGAACTTCATTAATTACACCTCCACCGAAAAAACTTTCATCGTCGCCTAAAACGGGTTCTTCGGTTTCTTCATCTTCGATTAAATCATTATAAATTTCTCCCAATCGATTTTCAACATCAATATCAACAACCAATTACGGTATGTTTCTCGTCTCATACTCTGCTGCTGCAGATGTCCCTCCGACTTCATTTCCACTTTCTAATAGTTCCATAAAACTGTTCTGGAACCTGTATGTCGGATACTCAAACTTACGATCGAAAGCCATTTCAGATTAATTTCGAGCCACATCTCTTGATGACCCAGGAACATCACATATGTTACGCACATCAACAAATAACTCAATAACTGCTATATAGGTTGACTCATGTAATCCAATTATGGTTCAAATATCATCATCATCTTCAAGTGAAACTGCATCATATCTGACTGGGTTGGGACATATCATAAATCTGTACCTCAAACCATCCATTACAGCTCGAATTTTTTCTTTCTATCTTCTACTTCATTTCTATAAATGTGATGTCTTTTTTGAACATCATATTTATTGGTTTTTCAGATTGAAAAATAACTCCGACCTCATTTTCCATAATCGGTCCATTATAATGGACAATCGTGAAAAAGTTTTTGCTCATTTTCTCTACAAATAAAAAATATATATAAATTTAGATTAAAAAAATTAGATAAGATAATTTCATAAATCATTTAGTAATGATTACTAATAATAATGATTAGTTTGATAATATTTTTATTTTTTAAATACCAAACAAATTTGTTAATTAATTGTTATAAATTTTAAGATTATATTTCATTCAATTTTTACTCCTTACTAATTTACACTTAATTTAATATAAATTAAACAAAATAATTTTTTAAAACAACACTAAATATTTTTAAACACAATATTTTTTTAAACGATAATAAATTAAAAAAATTAATTTATATAATTTAATCTAAACTAACTAACTAATTTACACATACACAACAAAAATTAATAAATTACCCCGTATTTATGCCTTCTTCCTTTCTTTTCTTTTTCTTTCTTATTTCTTTCTTCGAATCAATCTGTACGTGGGCAAATGTTGTGGAATAATGCCCTGTACGTGTAAAAAATTATTTCTTTAAACAACAATAAATTAAACAAATTAATTTTATATAATCTAATATATTATAATATAACTTAAACTAATAAACTATTTCTTTATTATAATATAATTTAGTTAAAATAATAAACTAACAAACTAATTAAACACTAATTAACTTTTTTTATAATATAGCTTAAACTTCAACAAACAACCTAATATACTTTTAAACACACTAACAAATTAATTAAATATTTTTTTACATTTAATAACTTAAACTAAGAAACTAATTAACTAATTTTTTATATAATCTAATATATAACTTAAACTAACAAACTAATATAATATAACTTTAACTAACAAACTAATAATTTATACTAACAAACTAATTAACTAAATTTTTGTTTTACCCTAAACCCTAAACTAACAAACTAATTATTTCATATAATAAACTAAATTAAACAATAAAAAATTACCTCACGAACGATGTTTGAGCCTTTATCTCTCTTTCTTCTTCTTCTTCTTTTCCTTTCCTTTCATTTCCTTTCTCTCGCCAAATTTTCTTTCTTTCTTATGATTCTACCCTAAACCCCTCATATCCAATATATAATGATCTTTGCACGGTTGGTAAGCTGCAATCAATTTGAGCTGTATAATTCATGTTGAAGGCTGTAAATTTTTCAACAGTTGAATGCTGCAATAATGCAACACTAATTGTTGCATGCAACAGCTGATTTTACGCTGCAACAATGCAACAATGATAGCGGGAGAGGACAATCTCGAAGCTATGGCACGAGGGAGCAGCGGGAGCAGCTATGGCACGAGGGAACATAAACTTGGTCGTCGGACGTGCATGTCGACCTATGTGGGAGTGTTGGCGATCATTCTCTCTCCGCTGAACGTCGTGCATGGCACATGCATCATTTTCTGGATGTACAAGGGGGTTGGGAGTGCATGGCGACCTATAAGATCACTCGGAGCGCATGGCGACCTATGCGTTGGGGACGTGCATGTCACATGCAAATGTTCATTCTCTCTCTGCAGCTCGCCGGGAAGCCATGGTGACCTATCAGGTCGCCAGGATGACATAGCGACCTACGACCAATACTGTAGATTTCACCATATTTGAGCAATTAATCTTGGGAGTGCATTATCTCGTGAAATAATTTTTTCGATAACATTATCTCGTGAAATAATTTTTTCGATAACATTATCTCGAGAGTTTTGCCCCAAACAACAGTTATTTTTTTATTAATCATAATTTTCTATCTAAATTAAAAAAAGAAGACGTTCACAGTTGATGAAACCAATTTATTTCCGATCAACAAAATTATATCAGGAAATTACATCTTTATAACTCACCTAGTGAATAAATGAAACGAGTACACAAACTAAAGCGAAGGTGCTCGTACGGTGCCATACTCATTCCCTCAATGAAGAAGAAAGGAAGAAGATTCCAAGTTTTGCGCATACCGCTCTCTTGCCTTTGCTGGTTTGGGAGATTGGACGCGGTTATCCACTCCAATTTTTTCTCACTCCCAACTGTAAAGCAGCAAGTAGGATGATAGGCCCCACTTCACTCATGATGTCTCACCCCATTCGTCAGTCGTTTTTCCCTTTTTTTTTACTATTTGAATTTGGTTTTATTTCGGACTGAATTTATTATTTTTTCTGTCTCATGAAATGTATCTATTATTAATTTTTTAAAATAAAAAAATAAAAAATAAAAATAAATAGTTAAAAGTAATAATGAAAAATGAGAAGATATTTATTAAAAAAGTTTAAAAAATTATCCAAACAAATATAAATAATAAATTTAATATTCAAGTAAAAATTCATGACAGTTTTTTTTTCCTCTAAATCACATCCTAATTTCACAACCGATTGCTAGGACAAACCGTACTTTATCCTTTATCACTTGTCCAAGTGGCATCAATTTCCTTTTTCCGTCGCAAAACTCTCTCTCTATAAAAACCACACCCAAGCTTCTGCGTCACTAGTATCTCTGCACCCAAAATTCTCTTTGTTTCTTCATCAAAAATAGCCTCACATGAAGGCCCGATCATCATGGCTAGCCACACTCTTCTTCGAAAGCCCCTCGCAGTCACCGGGAGACAGCTCCCCCGAAGATAGCGGCGGCGCTACGTCATCTTCTGGTTCTTCAAGTGACTCCATCTGCTGTAGTGGCCTCCATAGCAACCCCTCCCTCCAGACTCTTCCATCTGTCCCTTCGTTGGAAAATATTTTCCCGGAGACCTTAGGGCTCTCCGCCTCTAATATCGGCGTTACTTCGATTAAGCCCCGATCGGAGCATCCGATTACCTGCATCGCGGTACACGGTAACTTCTTGTACGCTGCTTCTAACGACGAAATCAACGTCTACGATCGCGAGACATACACTCCTCGTGATGTATACAAAACCCAGGGTTCATCCTCCGGTTCCGTTAAGTGTGTTGTTTTCTGTGACGGAAAAATCTTCACGGCTCACCAGGACAGTAAGATCCGTGTTTGGCAAATGACCATGGCTAAGAAGCACAAGTTTATAACCACTCTCCCTACCGTTAACGATCGTTTACGTCGTTTTATCCTCCCGAAGAACTACGTCAACGTGCGCCGTCACGTGAAACGGCTGTGGATCGAACATGGTGACGCCGTTACTGAATTGGCGGTTAATAAAGGTCTGATCTACTCCGTTTCTTGGGATAAAACCTTGAAGATATGGCGCGCTTCTGATCTCCGCTGTTTACAGTCTATTAAAGCACACGACGATGCCATTAACGCCGTCACCGTCACCGTTGACGGCACTGTTTACACAGGCTCCGCCGACAGACGGATCCGAGTGTGGTCAAAACCGACAGGTGAGAATCGGTACTCATTGGTGGCGACATTAGAGAAGCACAAATCAGCGGTGAACGCGTTAGCTTTGAACGCCGACGGATCGGTGCTGTTTTCCGGAGCGTGCGACCGTTCGATACTTGTTTGGGAGAGAGAGGATAGCGCTAATTACATGGCAGTGACGGGAGCGTTGAGAGGACATGGGAAAGCGATTCTGTGCTTAGTCAACGTCTCTGATTTGCTCATGAGTGGATCCGCAGATCAGACGGTTAGGATTTGGCAACGCGGAGGGGAAGGGAAATATTGCTGTTTGGCGGTTTTGGAAGGTCACCTGAAACCGGTGAAGTCGTTGACGGCGGTTAAGGATGACGAACGGAGTGACGTCGCTTCGATCATTAGCGGGAGCCTTGACGGCGAGATTAGAACGTGGAAGGTCTCGCTTTCGAAACCGAGTAGTCCTTCGTCGACGACGGATATTTTAAAATGGAATTAGTGATATAATTACAAGTTAATCTTAATTTATATCCAAAAAATTATAAGTTAATCTTAATTACATCGTTTAAAAAAAATCAGAGGGGCACTGATTTGTGTATTCTCTTTTTAAATGGTCTGTTTGCTTCACCAACCAACCATTACTATCTGTTGGTTCTTTCTTATTATTTTATTTGTAGACTTTTTGAAGAACTGTTTCCTTTGTTTTATTCATAAATTTTTAGTTAAATGAATATTAGATATATTAAAAAATAATTAATCCTTGATCAACACTGTTAATATGTCTTATACCTCTCGGATATCTCCTGGAAACCTCCGCCAGATTAAAGTCGACGCTTTTCACTTATCAAAGTTTTGAATAACATGTATCCTTTAGATACAAGCTTTAATCAACTATAAAACGATTGATGTCAGTTCACATGACTTATGGATATAAAGTCTGACAACTAAATATATTTAATTTGTTGACTTATAAATAATTATTATGATTTTATTACTTATATACGTACTAAAAATCACATTATAAATACTCTCATTTGAGATTAGAAAATGGGATGACACCCTAACAATATATTACTTTCATCCTCCCTCTGGCTATTGGTCGTCCTCGATCACCATATTCTTTGTCATAACTCATTTTCTTCCTCTTCTAGATATCGATGAACGATCATTTTCTTACCGACCACGACTCATTATTTTAATTAAAAAAGGTAATTATCAACAACCGACGAATCAAACTTATTTTAATCAATAATACGAAATGTTACCGTAATTTATGCACCATTACCCCTCTTAATACCATGAGTATTGTTCGTGCACATGCATGCATGCGTGGGTGTAGCTTGAAATTAGCTGACAGGTTAACCAAGGCAAGGATCATGCGTTTTCGTCGATCCCCCTATTCAGACTGTATCCCGGTCACGTGTACGTGATCACATGATAACACTTACTGAAATTCAATCAATTCCCGGAAAATAACATTAACAGTTCCTTGTTAGCCACGAACAATTGAAAACAAATAGGTCAATATCAAAGGTCTCACTTTGGTTAGGCTAAACTTTTGATTATTTGTTATCCTCGTGTTGTCTTTTCCATTGATCTATAATGTTAGTCGGTGTCCTTAACTCACCCTACAATTGTACCATGGTAGTCTCTTCTCATACTTTAAAGTTTCAACATTTATAATAATAATCTCGTCTTCTTTTTTCACTCTTTGTTAAGTATCTGAGATAAAATCAATCGGTAGAAGATAAAAAAAATGTTTTGACTTGAATACATTATAAACAGTTTAAGAATAGTTGACTAATAATTTTTAAGATAATAAATAAATATACAATTATTTACTTATTATATCATGTTGATATAATATTAGTAAGTGCTTCATACAGATAATAATAGTAAAAAGCGAGACTCTCGTCTTCACATCCAAACAAAAGTAATTCAAATTATGACGATAAGCATGGCATTGTTTTCCATGGTTGATTCCAATTTCCACACAAATGAACAAACCCTGTCGTTTACTTTTACAGTACGATTCACTGTTGGAAGTGCCTAAGAAACTCATCGTTGAAGCTCCTTTTAGTGAAGATGAGGGACCATACACTTGAGGTTGGAGACGATATAAGCAAGTTGGCAAGTTGTATAACAATGGCGATAAAAGAAAAAAAGCTAACGATGAGAGAGAGCTGAGTCAATAGTCATTTGTGTGGACGTCGAGGTGTGTAGATATTAAAGTGATGGACAAAAATCAGCAGTCGCACGCCTCATCTTCTTGATGGATATTGGTATGTCTTAGTGGCAAATATATTATGAAACAATAATATTATTCCTTTGCTTGGGCCTTTTCTCTTTGTTTTTTTCTTTCAGCTAAGCTAAGATATGTGCATGGATATGCTATTTTGAAGATTAAAATATGAAAATATGGATTGGGCACACATATAATGTGGGCATCATCAGTTACGGACGTGGAGCTTCTTGTGACACTAATATGTAAATATAGATTAAAATATTCAAATGGAAATGTCATTCATCATCATGGAGATTGATCCTTCTCGAGGACCTAAGATATTCTACGATAATACCATCACATAATATAATGCATGATGGTTGAGATTGATCCTATAATATAACCGAACATATACATTATCTTATAATTATCTTAAATTATTCAAGAAAATTCCACAATAAATATAACGGATGTCAAAAAATAATTAAAAGGAAAACTTTCTTGCAAACGTCTTTTCCAAAACTTTTCTCTAACCCCCAAGATTCTCTGTCCATCAGTGCATTAAACTATTATAAATCATGATCATGACAATATGTTTTAATAAGTACACTTAATTAACCCACAAATTACGAAGCTTAAATACAGTTTTAGTCAGTAGAATTGGCAAAATTACAAAAATGTATTGGTCAGCAGAATCTACTGAGTAAGATCTCAAGAATATTAGACTTAAATTAATGGTATTGAATCTGATAATTAAGTTGTAGATTATTCGCAACTTGTGTTTGTCTCTTTCTGCATCAATCAGACAAATACAAAGAGTAATTTAATCAAGCATTAATGACTAAGAAAATTGGTTTAAATAACGACACCTTTTAAGTCAACTCCTTCATTTAACAGCTCTGGTTTTTAACATAAGTAACCAGTTCAACTAGATAAAAGGTACAAGAATTTCCACTTAAGTGCTTTATAATATGATTTTACCATATATATATATATATATATATATATGGGTAAACTATACATTTAGTACTCCAATTATCACGTTTATTCCGTTGTGGTCATCCAACTATTTTTTTGTTTCAAAATCATACCTAAAATTACGTTTTGGTTTTATTTTGGTCACCCACCATTAAAAAAATTAATGATGATGTTGACGTGTCACCATAAGATAATGCCATGTCATCATTGATTTTTAAAATGTCACGTCAGCCGTTATATTAAAATTTTAACAATGACGATCGAAATGAAACAAAAGCATAACGTTAGACACGATTTAAAAAATAATTGAATGACGAAAACATAACAAAATCACGATAGTTAAAGTACTAAACGTGTATTTTACCCTATATATTAACATAAAGTTTATTATTAATAACATAAATAAAATTTCACAGTGAATACATTCAGTAAAATAAATAATTATTTAGAAAAAAGCCAAATTTTAGAATAGATAAAAATTTCGTTATTGTATATATACACCTTGGTATAAAGTAGAATGTAAATTGTTAGCATTTGATATTTATACTTTTAAAAAAAATAAAATGTCTAGTTCAATTATTTATAAATACATGAATTTGAATTGTTAATTTTTATTGATTTATTACATATAAATTAATAAATTATTGGAGAAATGACCAAATGTGTATATATATATTGTTGAATGAGCTGGAGAACATTATTATTATAAAAATCCTTGTGATTCACATTTCTCAGTGAATTAAACAATGGCATGATTGGTGGTTGAAACCGATAGGAGGTCTCAGTCTTCAATGGAAGGAAGAATTACAGAATTTCAAGTTGCACCCATCAACTTGCCAACTTGTTATCTTACCCTAACAACCATTTTTTGTTTGTCTCGAGCTCATTATAACTCTAATGTATCTTATTTTTCTTTAAACAATCCGAATTGATTATAATATAATATTTTGTTCAAAAAATTTCTTAATATATTAATAACATATATCATATAGGTGTAGCTACTCAAATCTAAATCCTCTAAAGAGTATAACATTCACTTCAATCGAAGTTTAATGATAAGAACTGAGTATCACTCAAACGAAACTTAAAGAAAAACAAGCAGAAGAGAAGAAAGAGTGCTCAGCATATATTATAAAGGATCAAGTAAACTGTTACATGGCATAGCTCCCAGGTTTAATCTTTCTTAGATCTTTATGCATTTTTCTTTAAATTTATTTCACACGATTAACTTAAATATCATATTTTATCAAAATATAATAAATTTCTTACCTAGACCTTATACTTTCCCCTTAAATGTTATAAGTTTGATCTCTCTTAAAGCCTCAAATATTTTTAATAATTTATTTTTATAGTGTAACCTATAGTATATTTTATCCAAATATATCAAGTTTCTTGTCTAGCCTAGTAGTTAGGTGTTCCACTCTTCCTTAATTTTATAATGACATGTATCATCATCTTTTCAAAGAGTATTAATTTATTAAGAAAAATAACATATAAACATATTGATTTCATAATCATTGATATGTGAATATATTACATCAGCTAACATTAATTGTTTAATTATCCAATAATAGAACATGATTTGTTTTTTTAATAATAATGATTCCAACATATATTCCAATTCCACCAATTTCTCATGTTTGGTTCAAGTTTTCCAAGGGAATTGGAATCACTCATGACTTCAACTTTCCATCAAATGAGGGAAAGTGAATTCCATCCAAGAATGGCTGGAATTCAATTCCCTTGTTGGAGGGAATTGAAATTTGATCATACTACCCTCATCAATCTTTTGGTAAGTTTTTCATATATTGAATAAAAATATTTTATTATTATTTCGGGTTGGGTTTCTAATTCATATATTCGGGTCGGGTCGGGTGAAACTTTATTTTGGTCGGGTCGGTTTTTTTAAGTGTGATATTTGGGTCGGGTCGAGTTCGGGTTTATGGTGAAAAATACCCGACCCGAAAATATATATAATTTTACCTTATATATTTAGGAATAATTACAATAATACCCATATATATATAATTTTTTTCAATTAAATCACTGTTTTTATTGAATAAAAATATTTTTTTATTATTTCGGGTCGGGTCGGATTTCTAATTCATATATTCGGGTCGGGTCGGGTGAAACTTTATTTTGTTCGGGTCGGGTCGGGTTTTTTTAAGTGTGATATTCGGGTCGAGTCGGGTCGGGTTTTTTTAAGTGTGATATTTGGGTCAGGCCAGGTTTTTTTAAGTGTGATATTCGGGTCGGGCCGGGTTTGGGTTTAGGGTGAAAAAAATTGGAACCGACCCGAAAAAAATATATAATTTTACCTTATATATTTAGGAATAATTACAATAATACCCCTCTATATATAATTTTTTTCAATT